AGCCAAGAATCCAAAAATTTTCATTTTTTTTTCAATAAGTTTGGTAGAAAATTTTTTTAAACACATACATGCCTGCAGTTGATAGCTCCTACGATTATTTAGTGCTTGCGATGTCAGCGCAGCCTGCACTTGAAAGTAAATGCAGGACGAATTTTGTAAGAAAAGTTGTTTACGCGAAAAAATTTAGTTCCCGATTACAAGTACACTTGCTATAGCAAGTGAAATAATTTTCTCAAATTTATCCAGGCAGTATTTGCGCAACCCTAATTGCCTTAAGGGATCCAAACTGTATCAGTTAAGATGCTTAAAACTAATAGGTCTACATAAGAGCCTCAACATAATTGGTCTACAAAAGACCCTCAACTTAATTGGTCTACATAAGAGCCTCAACTTAATTGGTCTACATAAGAGCCTCAACAATTGACGAGGCAGTTTTTTTTTGCCCAACTTCTGATTGCCTAAAAGAAGCAAAAATGAACCAATTTTCGGGCAAAATTTTTCGGTCCGAAATTCGGAAATTCAAATGCACTAAATCAATTCTTGTAAAATTCTAAGCAGCTTGTATTTGATCGACTTTTGATGTAGTATCAACCTAATTTGAAGAAATATTCGTCATAACTGCTTATACGAAAACTCAAAATTGGTCTGATAAAAAAACCCATCCTAAGCATTAAAGTTCTCTCACTTTCTTTGACATTACAAAAAAATTTTGCTTTATAACTTATTAGGAGCAGTCTAGATACCAACTGCTTTTTGGGAAATGCTTTGAATAGTTGGGGAATGCTTTTCTTTCAATCCATTTGAAAGAAAAATGGGCTGAACCAGTAATTGAATCAAACACCGTAAGCAAAACTGTTGTCATAAAAAATTTTCAGTTTCTAAGCTTTTACGACCCATCTCCCCAAATCCCTAAAAAGCATCAAAAAAAATTTTGCCCACAAAAATGTGCAAAACACGATAACTACGCCGAATTAAAACAAGTCAAAACAGTTTTTAAAAGAGGCGAAGCAGAGCTTCGCATCACTTGCGATACAAAAATATATGACTATGATTACCACCAAATGAATAGACAAATCAAAATTTGAAGAAAAAAAACATAACAAAAAAAACGTTTTTTTTTTGTCAAAGCGAGTTATAAAAATTGGAAGAACGAACAAAAATTCCTGAAAAAAAAAACCTGCAACATTAGAAACTTTAAAAAGAGCTTTCAAAAAGCTTAAAAGAAACCGAACCTTTCTGCGGGACCTAAGCCGACAAGAATTTGTCGATATAGGCAGGTGTGTAACCTCTTTGCCACAAGAGCGAATTAACGTCTGACTTTTGATTTCAAATGAGCCAAAGATAAAATGATTCAGTGATTCTGTTAAACTAATTGTTAACCCGAAATTATATATTCCAGTTTGATAATGCTTGCTAATCCCAAGCGTAAAACCCAAATAGCCAAAAACAACTTTAGAAAAAAATGAAAGAAATTATTCAACTTCAGACTTTTACGAATTACAAAACAATTTTCAGTTATAGCAAAAATGGTTTAATTAAAAAAACTTTGGAAATTAGGCTGAAAATGATAAAAATTGCATTTAGAAAAAAAACGGAGAATGATCCGACGGATATAAGGACAAAAGCCAAAAATCCGAAAATTTTCATTTTTTTTTCAAAAAGTTTGGTAGAATTTTTTTTAACACATACATGCCTGCAGTTGGTAGCTCCTACGATTATTTAGTGCTTGCGATGTCAGCGCAGCCTGCACTTGAAAGTAAATGCAGGACGTATTTTGTAAGAAAAGTTGTTTACGCGAAAAATATTTAGTTCCCGATTACAAGTACAATTGCTATAGCAAGTGAAATAATTTTCTCAAATTTATCCAGGCAGTTTTTGCGCAGTCCTAATTGCCTTAAAGGATCCAAACTGTATTAGTTATGATGCTTAAAATCAATTGGTCTACAAAAGAGCCTCAACTTAAATGATCTACATAAGAGCCTCAACTTAATTGGTCTACATAAGAGCCTCAACAATTGACCAGGCAGTTTTTTTTGCTTAACTCCTGATTGCCTAAAAGGAGCTTAAAATGAACCAATTTGCGGGCAAAAATTTTTGTGGTCCGAAATTCGGAAATTAAAATGCACTAAATCAATTCTTGTAAAATTCTAAGCAGCTTGTATTTGATCGACTTTTAATGTAATATCAACCTAATTTGAAGAAAATGTCGTCATAATTGCTTATACGAAAACTCAAAATTGGTCTGACAAAAAAACCCACCCTAAGCATAAAAGTTCTCTCACTTTCTTTTACATTAAAAAAATTTTTCTTTATAACTTATTAGGAGCAGTCTAGATACCAACTGCTTTTTGGGGAATGCTTTGAATTGCAAAGCCAGTTTCTTCTATATTGTTTCGCTTGTTACGCTCAATTCCAATTCGTTCATCAAAATAAGGCAGGCTTTTCATACTAGTTTTTTGGCCCGCCAATTTTTGGTAGTACATTCGATGACCCCATATATGCGTAGTCTCAAATAACTTCAGTGAAATGCTCATTCAGTCGCAAACTATTTTTGCACATCAACCACCTTCACAATCAATCCGAGCAATTCAGGGCAACCTTTCCGTCAAAAATGCATCAATAAAAAAATCAAAATTGGTTGGTCTGAATAAAAAAACACTCGGTGCAAAAAAAATTTGTCAATTAAATAAAAAATCGAAATGGGTCTGAATAAAAAACACCGTGAGCAAAAAAAGGTCATTTACTTCGAAAAACGTTTAAAAAAAATTCAACATAAATTATTATGATCAGTCTAGACATTTAACTGCTTTCTGGAGAAAGTTTCGACTTGCCAATCTTGTTTCTTCTACTTAACTTTTCGCTGGTTACTCGCGACTTGTTTATAAAACTTGTGCAGTATTTTCATACTGATAAATTTAGTTTTTCCTCCCTTTTGATCCACTTAAATTGGGCAACTAAGGTCAAGATTTAGAGGCGAAACAGAGCTTTGCGCTACTTGCTATACAGAAATGAATGACTACCACTAAAAGCATATGAAATGACAACTCTAAAATTGAAAAAAAAAACTTTTGTCATTTCCCATAAAAAAATATATAAACATTGCAAAATAAGCCAAAAAATTCTGGGACAAACTTACCTGTATCATAGGAAAACTGACAAAGAATTTTTGGAATACCAGGCAGAAGCCGAACCTTCAAAAAAATTCATTTATACGGGAAGTAAGCCGAGCAAAATAAGGAGACAGACGACAGTCTAAAACAACAAAAAACTTCCAATTTGCAAAAAAAGTCCCGACCGGAATAGAATTCCCGAGCTTTGTCGCTGCAACCATGGGTAATACCACTGTGTCTGATGCGCTGAATAATCCTTGAATTTGAATATATAGTGCAAGTAAAACACCCGTAACTTTTCACGTGCGATTTCTGTGAACAAAGTTAGTTATGTGAGAAAAATCTAGTACCCGGTTGCAGCACACTTTCTAACCGCAAAGGTAAAAAAATCTTTGGATAACTTGACACAGAGGTAAAGCTGCGCTTCGTAAACACTAGCATAAATGACAAAAATGTACCCCCATAAAAAGAAATAAAAAATCCAAAAATCGCTTGAAAGTTTTTTTCTTTTCAATTTGCAAGTTTTAGCGAGTATAAAAAGCGTGAAAAAGCCTTTCACCTTGTTATATTCTTGATATTGAATTTAATTATCAATTGTATAAAACTTCTAGAAAAAAAACAACCAGCAAATAATCCGACAAAAATTGAGCCGAAATCAATCTAAAACAACTAAAAATTTACAACTGAAATTTTTGTTACAGGTATATCCAGTAACGCAATACCACTAGCAAATTAATTCTAGGCATTAACGCTAGCCACTGTTAAACGTGCTACGTGCTGAAAAAGGAGATCTCGAAATTGGAGATCAATAAGCGTGAAAACACCCTTTCTAACTGCAAGGGTAAAAAATCGCAGACACTAGCGAAAAAATGACAGAGTATCTCCATAAAGTGAAATAACAAAAAATATTTTTAAAAAACTTGAAAAATGAAACATTTGAGGCGGAATCGATCCTACAAAGAGGAGATTTACAGTCCCCAATCCTCGCATATGAACAACGTGCCCTGCTAATTTGTAAACACTAGCCGCAAATAAAGCAGCTACATATGCTATTAAATGGCCAATGCGATGCAGCGAAAGGGTGACCAAATTTAAATAGACTCAATTTTGCACGTGAAAATTTAGAATATAACAAACAGTCATCGACACTAACTTTTCATGTAATAAATTTGAAAACATAAAGCCAAATTGTTTATAATTTATGCTTTTCAAAAATATTACGAGATATATTGTGTGCGATAATTTCTGAAATCGAGTTTTTATTATTAGTTTTTTTTCGGTTCATTCGATAAATGAAAAAAGCATCAACTGTGTTAAGTTATTACTAATCGGATGTCAATTCCTATGCTATAAAAATGCCGTAAAAGTGGCCCAAAAGTCGCCATTTGCGACCAATATTTGCGACTTAGGTTGGAAAAAAAGAATAGTCGTACTATAGCACTACTCTCGCTTGAGCTTGCTAGAGCAAAAAAGCGAAGAAATTAAGCAGTTTTTGTGCAAGCGTGACAAATCCTAGACAATTTGACAGAAGATATTTTAGATGGGGGCTCTAAGTTTCTTCGGTGAAAAAAAATAGCATTCCTCTTGTTTTGTTTAACAAATGAGAATTTGGTCCAATTCAACCGGATCATTCGTTTAACATAACTATATTTTAGCTGTCATCATAATTAGAAATGACAGGAGAATATCACACACTAAATTCGCCGTAGAAATTTTAATATGAAATTAGATTTTGCACCTGTGAGCACCTAATTACAATTGGAATGGTACTTAGTGAAAGCAAGAAGCCAGTTAACCGCTTGAGCTAGGTCTGTTCATTGAAAGTTGCTCTAATTTGTGAAGCTTCATTAAAATTTCCAACACTAGAGCTAATTCACATATAAATTTCAGTATTCTGGAGAAGCAGCAGAAGAGGTTGCTAAGTTCCGTCATCCGGAGTGGAATTTAATCTACGTGGACAAAATCCGAGAGGTGCAGGGGTGGGAAGGGTACGAAGTGCCCATTCTCAAGTTCAAGTACGCCTTCCACCGACAGTCCAAATACTTCGAGTACACCATGGTGTACCCCACTGTTCTTATATGCCTCATGGCGTTCATTTCGTTCAACTTACCCAACGACTGTGGCGAAAAAATCGGGTTCTCAATTACCATTTTACTGGCACTGGTTCTCAATTTATGCCTGATTGGAGGCTACATTCCCCATGCTAGTGTCAACTTCCCCATTATGGCCGAGTTCTTCTTCGGAGGAATCTGTGCTGTGAGCGCATCTGTTGTTCAGAGCGTCATGATTCTCCTCATGTACCACTCGTCCGAGAAGCCGAAAGAACCCTCCAAAGTAAAAATAAAATTGAAACTCACAGTTCTCACAAGCATCAATAAGTTGAGCACTGTCTCGCATAACAGCATAGAAAAACATATGAAAGACAGAGGATGTAGCACGGCAACTGCCAAAAGTCATGATAGATTTTTGATTATACGAAATAACTTACACTTTTTAAAATTCAGTTCAGACACAAAACTGTTGGGCAATTTAGCAGCTTACCAGTATAGTGATCATTTGAGAGGAGTATGTTAAAAAGTATTTTTCCCAACGCTTCATAGAACATTATTCAACTAATAATCACAGAACTGTCTTAACTGTGCTTAAATTTTAGTTCTTTGTTTAGTTGATGCGAAAAGTGATTTTGGGCTGGCTTGCCAAAGTGACATTTACGTCTTTGAAAGGACTAGAGAACGATCACATGCTTGAAGACGACAACAGCTCGGAACAAGAAAAGAGCTCAACAAAAGAAGAAAACGACACTAAGAAAATTTCTGCTTCAGGTCAGGTACCCTTTTTCTGGCTATTTTGATAAGTTTTTCTGTTCAGTTTCTGTCAAAACAAACATTTCCATTCAATAATCAAAACTAAAATCTACCGATTGTTTCTTTTATTTTGACTATTCGTAGACGGATGCGAAACCCAGCTACACATCACTCGCGCCACATCAAAAAGTTAAAGCATTACTAAAAAATGACGAAGAAATATATTTGTAAAACATGTTTTAACACACAGGCAAAGCTGCACCTGGCAAAAACAAACAAAAAGCGCCAAGAATTAGCTTTTACAGAAAGGCACAGAGAGAAGTTTCGCACAACTTCCGACACCGCACAAAAAAAGCAGTGCAAGCTAACAGACAAAATGAAAATGATGCCATTAGATCGAAAAAAAATGTGACAAAAATACTGCCAATATTTCAAAATTTTTCAGGAATGATGTTCTATGGTGAAAAAACACGTCCTGATAGAAAATCATCGTCATAAAATAAAAATAAGTAATCAGAAACATTAATTGAGCGGCAACTAGGCCGATAAAAATAAGTTAAACTCTCGTTGAGCCAAAATTAAAAATGTTGTTCAAAAAAATTGCCGAAAAGAGTTTTTACATCCCCTCCTTCATTAACGCAAAAGGATAAAATATAAACGACGCAAAAGTAGGTCACTGAACCAACAAAATCTGTGCCGAAAAATTGAGGCCAAAAGCTTTTGAGCGAAACAAAACCAAAGAAAAATCAAATTAAGTAAGCTTACAAATTACAGAAATCAATTAAAAACATTAATTATCCATTGAAAAAAAATTGCTAAGAGCACAGGAAAAATCCGGGATATGTTAAATAAGCTAACACGAAGACAAAAAAAGGTCGACTTTTTTGAAACAGAAAGTCAAGGTCAGATTCCAGCCTAGGACCTCTGCCTTCCCAAGTGTAGTCGTTACTTCTAGACCAAGTGGAACTGAGAAGCTAAGATACTTGATTTTATGATCAACCAACCTATCAAATGATTCGATTGAGTTTATAAAACAAATAGTTAATCAAAAAAATCTATATTCAGATTTAATGAATAGAAAAAATTAACAGACACTTGCACTCGCAAGTGTCATGACCTTTGAGCAATAGAAATAAAAGCCCTCCACGGTGAAACTCAAGGGGAATGATTAAAAAGACCCTGACAATAGTTCCTTTTCAACACATGAACTTTTTTACGCGACATTGACTTTAAAAACGTAGTCAAAACTGCAGATAAAAGAATACATCCGAACTCAAGGATAAATCGGAGCTGGGCAAGTAGCACAAAGTGTTCCGACTAACATGTTTTAAGAATAGAACTTTTTGACATAACTTCTTGTTTTTTTAAATCTCAACAAATGGCGATTAAAGGTATCAAACTGCGGAATGAGAGACATTTATGGCTAAAATTAACATAACAACTCAGTAAAATTAATTAAATTGTCAACAAAATTGAGTTGTCTTGGTGAAACTTGAAAGAACGTAGACCCAAAAACATTTTTTAAAAACCAAATTACGCTTGCATTAAGCTAATATGATACCACAAGGGCTTTTCTTGGGGGTAGTCAAAATCGGGGAGAAAGAAATCGCTGAGCCATAGTTCCTTCACTTCATTTCGTACTGGTTGGGACAAAATCGCATGCGAAAATCATTCAGGCAAACATTTGGATATTTCAAGATCTACGGACAAAAAAATGGCGAAGATATGGAGGTACTAAAAAAAAGGCACGGGATAAAATAATGTGTGCAAAACTGCAGTAAAAAAAAAGATTATTTTGAATGGAAAACAATAAAAAATTCAAAAGAATATATTTATAGAAGTTTCTGAAAATGTTTATTGAATTTTCATTTTCAAAACTCTCACTGAATATAAAATTTAACACGCATTAGCATTTTTTTCACTCAAAGCTTCGAATTTTTTTTTGAACACATAGGAGAAGCTTTTCCCATCACTTGCGATACAACGCAAGTGTAGCATTGCAAGGTAGCGAATAGAAAAAGAGACAGAAATAACAAATTCGGAAAAAAATTTCATGAGATACTACGGACAAAATCTTGAAGAAGAAATTCCCAGATTACCTTATTGAATACTCGAATGAAGGCTATTAAAACAGTAGTTGAATTAACTGAAATGATGAGATTGTTGCTATTTGTATATTTGAATTTACTCATTTTTATTAGTTTTCAGCATGAGATACTTGTCATTTAACACTTGTGAGGGAATGAGTTTGAAACGCTAAGCTTTTATGCCACAATCGGACTGATTTTGAATAAACGGCGTATTATCCGAAATCGCCGCAGTGACCAGTTTCGTACAAAGCAGCATCGTGGGACCTTTGTTTTTCCTATACTTTATTCATGATCACTGCTCACTTCTTCTTTTCGTTTTGCAGATGATCTTAAAGGCTGCAGTGTTGATACCGTTTGTTTAAAAGCTGGTCTGATGGCTCTACATTAGTGGTGTTATAAAAACTCGCTGGATTTCCATCCTGAAAAGTGTTAAATGATCTCGTCCTTCACTACTAACCTATCACATCTATTATAATTTGCTCGATTTCGTTCAAAGTTATAAAGACCTGGGTGTAGTGTTGCCGACAAACTTTAAGCGTTGTGATATTTTCTTCAGCTCAAAAGAAAAGCCCCTAAAAATGTCTCCAGATTCGTTAAAATTAGTCTGCATAAAAATTGTATTCTTCTCATTCTAGCGTAAGTTTCTCAGTACAATCTTCCAATAAACAGTGCGTTAAATGGATTCGGATGACTGGTGATCATAACTTGTCTTTCCTGAGCTTGAATATCTTCCGATTTGACATGAACTCGAAATTATTGGCTTCATGGACTCTTTCAGGGAAAGTGCGATGAAAACATTTTCGATTAAAATACCCTTTCAGATGAGCTTTTCTCACCCCTGAGCTCTAACAACTGCTTGTTGAATCAAATGGTTGAATTTACAGAAACGGAAATATTACAAAGATTTTTTATTTCGAACGTGTTGTCAGATTGGTCAGCCATCTCAAAATTGATGCTCGATGTCCTTCTTATGAATGGAAAAGCTGTAAGTCCAAGTCTTCTACAGCAAAGCGTTGATGACTTTGAATCAGAGTGCAATTGAAGCAGTATTTTTATCAACCGACCAATGAATTCGCGCGACAATTTTTCGATTGTTGTAGATAATTGTTATGAAAAAGAATTTTTGAAGCATTTTATGCCAGAAGGCATACCCAGAATATATTTGAGTAGAATATCGTTTGAAATGCAGGGGGGGTCATTTTTCTATGTCATCAAAGATGTACTTTCCGCTTTCTCTAACTGGTAGACAGTATAATAAAGACACACTTAATAAATTAGATAATAGTAAGCAACTTATAGAGCATGCTAAGCTGCTAAAAAATTCAATCAAATCTTTGTGCTAATTGGTCTTTCCCCAGTTTTACAATTCAAACGAAGCTATTACCGCCTGAGATAGTAACCCAAAACTCGTTTTCAGACTTCGCCGACGCAGTGCTGGTCATTTCAAATCACATTAAGCAGAGCCAGCAAGAAATTAGTGAGTCTGAATCGGAGAATCTGCCTAGCACAGCGAGTGAACTGCTGTTGAACAGTCTATATAACGTGCAAGTGAGTGCCAGAAATTGGGTGGCTAGAGAACAGGAGGACAGGAATGAACACTTCATCAAGTTGCAGTGGAAGCTGATTGCACAGGTGTTCGACCGACTGCTTATGATATTTTTCACATTCATATGTGCCGGATGTGGACTTGCCTTCAAGCTAAGGGTAAGAAAGCCCGATTTACCATTCCTCGGTCATCCTATTGGCACAAAAGACATCACAAATAAAGTAGGATCGATCCGTTCTTTTCGTATCTAGCAGTTAGCTATTCTGTTACTACATGCATATCTTGAAATAAGTCCTACGTTTTTTGCCAGTAACTTATTTGTTCATAATTTTGAACAGAACAGGTATAGATTCTTTATCTAAACCGGGTGGAGAATGCAATAAACTAGAATGCAATAGAACGGTTAAAGCAAATATTTCCGACAAGAAAAAGAAGGCTCCGTGATTTCATTTTGGGCACGGCATGTTTAGTTCATGTTGTTGTAGCTGCCTCGTCGAGGAACAGCGCATAAAACTTTAACATTTCGGTGAGATTTTGTTATAAATGGTCTTCGTTTTCATGTAGAATGGTTAGAGCGTTAGTTCAGTACTCTTCAGAGAAGGCTGATTTCTTAGTTTGGGTTAATTTTCAGTACTTCCAGCGGAAGGTTATTTGAGTCATTGCTGAAGTGCCTCTGGGCAAAAGACCCCCACACCCCGATTCCTGTAACTGAGACTTCAACTGATTCTGGTGTTGCGGCGCCCGTTTCGGTGAATCGCCAAGACGTCAAACGGGGAAAGGGTAGCAAAGTTACAGTTGCGATGTCTAAATTTGTCTTAACTGTACCTGCGGAACACCATACAGAGGAATGGTTTTGGTTTCTTATCCGAAGCTATGAGCCAGTGTTGAGTCGACACTGGTCATCAGGAGCGTGCTCGACTGATGTGCTTGGGGCTAAATCAGCCCGAGGAAGGCAGAAGATTCGACAGGATTGGTCCAGAGTGAAAGAGTAGTGTGTAGTAGGGTTTTGGGGACATTGAAAGAGGTGGTTGGTAACGTGTGAGGAGCTGAAGCACATTCGTTGGGGACACTTGAATCAAATCTGTTGAGGTAGAAATAAAGTAGGGGGAGTAACCGGAGCGTAGTTGAGCTAGGCTGGAACTGGCCTGGCGACTCAAGAGTTCAGCAGAGGAGATAAGTTCCGAAAAATACTATAATTAACCAGAAAGAGAATTACTGTTATGATTGAGTATTGCTGTTATGATCGAGAATATTGCTTGTTTCTAAGTAGAGAGCAAGCTCAGGTGCCTTACTACCAATGCCATTGGAATTCCGTTGCAAAAGCAAAGACTGTTAGAGGAGTCATGGAGATGATAGATTTATAAGGACGGCTTCTCGGTGCGTTTCGAGTGGGGTTAATAGTTGTAGGGTGTTGAGTGTAGAGGTTCAGGGAAATGAGGTTCTTGGGGGGGGGGGGGGACGGTTGGTTGGATTGCGGTAGATATATTGGGTGCAGGTAAGCGTGATGTGAGTAGTCTAGTGTGAGTGAGTAGGTGATGAGTGGTGTTGGGTGTGGTGAAAGTTGCGCGGGCGTCTTTGGGTAGTATTAACAGTTTGGGCCGTGAAAGCGTCCTGTGATGTTTGTTAGTTGAGTTAAGGCAGCTGCATTTCAAATGGATCCAGTCGCAGCAGTGACAGTACCTAGCCTATTCTGTTTGGTTCTTTCAGCTTTTGAAAAGAGAAAAGAAACAGTTTGTCACTAATAATCTACCATGAATAGGCTTGATGAGGAGCTAAATATGTTAAAATCAAAATCCTAAAGTTCAATGATTATGTTTTAGTTTTACATGGGCGAACAAGCAGCTCTTAGTCAGTTCCCCAAAAAAGAGGAGGAGGCTGATGACTACTACTATTACTATTATGACTATGATTACAACTATGAAAACTTGGCAGTGAACTAAACCAAAGAAGTCGACATAAACCAAATTTGTTTTGAGCTTTAAATTGAAATACAATTTTTGCCATCTTTGCAATCCTGAAACGAGTTCTGAATTTAATTTCTGAAAAAGAAAAGTTGAGCTCCCTATAAAAACCTTTAATGTTTTCAATAGAAAACAGCTATAAGTTGAAAATAACAAGCATTTGAACGCTCAATTTGAGAGAAAAACTGTCCGTAAGTTTCGCTCTTTTTAAAAAAAAAAAAACGCATATCTCGAAAAAAAAGCTGATTTGATAGGTCATGTTTTCATTATGATCAAAAACAATACAACAGTGTTCAGCAAGTTTTCAAATTCATAATAAAATCCGACAAAAATAATCACTAGAGTCCATACGACAGAAAAAAGGAAACAAGATTCAGATTTTTATTTTCAAAATCAATAATAATCTGCGAAATTCAAACACGCCATCTGTATTTCATTAAAAAACAAGTAAGGTTTTTACTAATTGAAAAGAAATCATGTATGGCAGAGTTAACTTTTCAAAACTGATAAATTAATAACATACGAAAGCCGTTTTTGGATTGTCAGTAATTAGAAAAGAAATTTCACTAAAAGCATCCCAAGGAGCTTTCGAGATCAAAAATAAACACTGAGGCGAAGCAGAGCTTCGCACCACTTGCGATACCTAACAAAAATACTATTGCAAGGTACCAAACAGAAAATGAGACCGGAGCCACTAAGTTATGAGCAAATGAAACGAAAAATCAAAAACTGACCAAAAACTAAAAAATATATCTAAAAAACCTGAACTTGATTACCTGCACGGTGCATCATTAAAAACAATTACAAGTGGCATTCTCAGAATAACTTAAGAACTCCATTTTTTGGGATCTAAGCCGACAAAATATGCAATCAGACGATAGTCTACAATAGCCCCAAAATCCAGAAAAAAATCGCGGCCGGAATCGAACTTCAGGCCATTGCCGTCCCAAAAATGATACCTCAGCGTCAAACGCGCCAGACAAACGATAGTCTAAAATAGCCCCAAAATCCCAAAAAAAAATCGCGACCGGAATCGAACTTCAGGCCATTGCCGTCCCAAAAATGATACCTTAGCGTCAAACGCGCAGACTGATCATTGAACTTGAATTTAAGGTTATCGTTCTACTCGAATTAGGCTAGCAAGTAATTAAATTTTAAAAAATGATCCAAAAAATAATTTAAAAAACTACCGAGTAACGCACCTCCGGTTCTTGAAACAGATTGGTGAATGTGAAAATTGCTTATTTCTAAAAACATGAAAAAGGAATGAAATGAATGCAATCGTAACAAAAGAAAGGTGAAACAAACAACGTTTTTGATTTCAAAAACTGAACAATAAAAAAATTCAACTTGAAGGTTTTTTACACTAAAATGTCCAAATCTACTGGGTTCTAGTCCTTCGTATTTTTAACTCATAACTGAACCTCTAGACTGGCCGATAGCATACAAATGCACTTTTCATCGTAAATCATCAAGTTCATAAATCGGATTCAAAATCCAGCGTAATTAATTTCAAAATATCAGACTTTTTTTTCTTAATTTATACTTTGTTGAATGAAAGTTTTCGAAATATCATAATCGTCAATTTGTAACAGTTGAAAATTTGAGCAAAAACATTATGAAGGAAGGCCAGTAATTACCTGCATCACCCAACTACAGGGTTGACATTGCGATGCCAAACTGTGCACTGAATAGGCCCACAATTTAGTGTCTGTATGTTCCTGGATTCGAGAGACAAGTCTTTAATTAAGTTAAAATTTTGTCGGAACGATCATAGAAAATGGAAGAACAAACGAAGAACAAAGGGCGCGTCCTTATTGCGGAATCCGCTGACATTTCTCAAAAAGCATAGTTTGGCCTCGTAATGGACATTTTCAAAATTTCAAAAGTATTTTTTTCAAATTTAGGCTTTTTGAAATTTTCTGATAAACATAAAAATGTCATATCTAAGAAAGTAGAAGGCGTTAACTGGTCATAGTGGAGTCCAGATCAGCATCTTGAGAGCATCCCACTATCTTGAGAGCACCTCAAATTAGTGTTATTGACTTCGAACTTTTAGAAGTTTTTCTATATCTAATAGTTATTGAAAATTTATGAAAAAGCTTAAGAAACTGGATAGCTGAAAAACTTCAAACTTGAGGCAGTCAAACTTGAGGCAAGATCTGCGGTTTCTGAGAGTATGCTGAGTTTAAAACTACCCTGGCAGCACCAAGCTATGAGTTTGTAGAATTCCAATTTTGAGAAATTTTATTTATCTGTTTTGAAAACTTGTGAAGAATTCATAGAAAAACCTCAGATCTCGGAAACCAAAAACGCTTGAGCAGTTACCTTTAGAGGCCAAAGTTGCAACCCCTGAGACCTGACTATACACAGTATTGGGAGTTTCAATTTTTGAGAAAATGTTTTAAACCTAAGTTTTCTGAAAACTTGCAGAAAAAAAAACACAAAAACCGTCGTATCTCATTAACTAAAAAGATTTGGGTATTCATATTTAGAGGACCAATTCGCAATCCTAACAGCATCACAATAATGGGTTGTTAATTTGAAAACTGCTGAAAAAATATTGAATCCAAGCTGAAAAAAATTTCTTAACCATTTCAATTTACGATATAGCTTAAGAGTGAAAAAATTCTTTCGTTAAACACGCAAAAATAATACTTCTAAAAAGCATGGCGATATAGTGAAGCCGGCTTTTAAATATATAATAGATTGCGCGAACAATCATCAACTCTATTTCCTGGAGATTAAGAGTTTCACACACTAACCCACGAAAGCTTAATAGGTACCATTAACCACTCTGTCACAAATATAGCAGAGAACAGATGCTATGCAATTTCCACTGCTACAATGAAGTTTCCAAACAAGTGAACACTTTTATTTGCGAGTAAGGTAAGAAAAAAAAACGGTTCGTAATAACACACTAAGTTGCTCGCAAGTGTAAAAAGAAAGACCTTGTGAGTTTGATTTTGAGCACTCGAAAAATAAGTGAGTCATCAACTTCAAAAAGAACCCTGAAATATTTTACTGAGCAAAATATTAGGTAAATAAGCAGACAAAATTAGGCGACATGCATTAACTAAAAAATCAACTGAAAAATTATAGCTATCTTAGGGATAAAAATGCATCAACACGCCCACAAAGGATCCAAGAATACTAATCGTAGTTTATGTAAGGTGGTATACACAATTCGGAAACCGAAACCAAACCGACATATTAACAGCAAAATATGCTGCTGAAAAATCTTAGCAAAAAAATTAAACGAAAAAGATATGTTCCGATTTGATAATGCTTGCTAATCGCTAAGCCTTCATTATGCATGAAAAATTTTCTTTTAAAAAACTGATCCATATTCTCCCTAGAAGCAAGGTTCTAAATTAAATGCTCAGCCTGGCTGTGCTGATAAAGACTGAAGCCCTAACATTAAATAAAACGAGCAAACCATGATTAAACCTGTGAAACTGGCTTCATCATGTCACAACATACGAGTCCAGCTCAATCAGGGTTCTCACAGGGTCTCAAAGATTGCTTGCACTGACGAAAGCATTGATAAAAATTGATATTCAGGCACTGATATTTTTCGAAATAGCTAATTTTCTCTTTTTTGATACTACGTATTAAAAACTAGCAGAATTAAAAACAATTCAAGTTTCGAAAATTCACTCATAATTTTTTAGAAAATTTTGCTGCAGATTTTTTGGAAAAGTTGCTCATAATACCAAAAAAAATCTAACTGTTAAAGCATGCTTGGTTTTCCAATTAATTTCTGAGCAATTTTAATGAAGTTGTGAGCAAGAGCGTCGAGCACTGAATCGATTTGCTGCTACTGATATGGCACTGAGAGCTCAAATTAGGTAAAAAAATTAACGAAAATTTGGCAATAAATTCCCTCACAGTCAACAAGTCGAGAAACAATTTCATTTTTCTCAATGTTTTGATAAAATATTTTTGGCTAGCTTCGGAAAAAAAGCTGAGATATGCGATTTGATTTTTCCTTCAGATTGTAAACTGCTGAAAAACAAATGCCCAAAAATTTATTAATTTCGGCTAGAAGTGTAAGATGACTTAAGGATGACCATTTGGGTGTAATCATGTCGAGAAGCGTTGCTGTATTTTGAGGAGGATGCGTCTAAAAAAGAAAGCAATCGCTCGCTTAAGCTGTAGCAGCTGCTTGGAAGGAGACGAGAAAGTTTCTTCTCAAAATTTATGAAGCAACAACGAAAAAAAGCAAATGTAAAAACAAACAGGGGTATCCCAAAATCATTTTAATTCATTAATTGAACGATTTGAATATGAGTTCAATATTTCGATTATTAAACAAAAATGGTCGAATCTCCAAAACATCTGGGCTTTTTATCTTCGTATTTTCAACTTAGATTGAAGACCCTAAAAAGGCCGACAACATACAACGTACTATATCACTGCTTTCGATTAGAATAAACATTAAATTTTCAACAATTCCTTAATTTAAATAAGAAATTTCATTAACACGTACGTTAACCAGTTGCTGCCATCGTTTCAGCCAGCGCAACTAACAAAGCCATAAAACCGACATTTTTTGAAAATTTTATCGAAAACTATCATATCAGAAACGAAATAGATTAGATCAGACACATTTGAAGGTAAAATCTGCAACCCTTGCACTCTGAAATTACGCCAATATAGGATGGATGGAGAATTTCAAACTTTGAATTGTTTTTTTTTTCAAATCTAAGTTTTCGGAAATAATTTGACAGAAATCATAAAAACGTGACATCTCGGAAAGTTAAAGAATATGAGAAGTGAAATTTGGAGGCCAGAACGGCAACCTATAGAAGTCTTTTGTCCAGACTCGATATTAGAAATTCAAATTTTTAGATATTTTTCAAAATCTGATAGCTGAAAAATTTGGAAAAAAATCATCAAAAACCTTATATCTTAGAGACTGAAAGAAAGTGAGCAGTAATAATTGTAGGCCAGACTCTCAACCCTGGAAATATGCTTACAGCACCTCGCCATAACTTTGAAAATTTCACTGTGCAGATTTTTCAAATCTAAGATTCTAATAATTTTTTTAAATT